CAGGTATAAACTGCAGGAGCTCAGTCTGCCTGGATACTGGTGTCTGTAACAGCTATGTTATTACCAGCCTCAGTAAGAGATTTTCAGCCTGGTAAACATACTCTTCCCCTTTCACCAGACTAACTCAGCTGGCAGTATGCACGCTGTGTGCAGAGGCAAGAAGACACTCTTCTGATGCAAACTCTCTGTGATCCTTTGAAAAGCAAAGTTATCACGTCTCGTTATATATGGCCAATAAAGTGATCTGTTCCTGTGTCTTCTTCTCCAACCGCTGCTATCTTCTCCACACTGAACACAGACCGCACAGCTGCACAAGAAGCGGTCGTACAAGCGAATTCCCCAGGCACCCAGAGTGGGGAGAACACACCTCGCACACACACCACACAAACTGCTCCGTCTTAGTTACGAAATAAGAGTACACAACAGCCATCGCCCCCGGTGCCTGCTCGCGTGGAAGAAGAGGGATGGTGATAAAACAGACCTGTTTCTGAGTGCACACCGCCATGATCTCTCTTGACTTCTCCCTTGGCTTTGAGTGCTGCTCTCCGTATCAGCTTTCTCTTTCTCTTTCGGATCGAGCGCCAGATCTTATAAGCTGATCATGACTCCACCCTGGGGGGGGAATTCCTCGACCTCTCGATGTACTTTCACTGGGCTAATAAACACCACAAGGAGCCAGAGATCTCCGATCCTCTTTTTCTGATAAGAGACCCTCAGCCAAGGTCAGTGTCAGACCCAAAGCGGCAGAAAACGTACAGCTTCTAACAGGAACCACAGACAGGATCTCACAGTGCCTCTGAGATATGTTTATACTTCTGAGGAGACAGGGACAAAATGATCACTGAAAGTCTTACAAGCTGAATAATGGATCTTGCTCAAACACTAATTCTCACAGCGTCAGACTGTAGTTGTCCTGCACAGATAAAAAGTCGTATTTGTCATAAATTATTACTTTACACCTGTAAATATTCCTTAAAACAAAATCCAATGTCCAAGATTAAAAGAGAGTTAAGGCATGGAAGACATTCAATAGTAGCATGGCAGTAGAGGCTCTCAGAAAGCTGAATCTATCACTTTCCACTGTAAAATCTATCATTAATGATCTCACTCATAAAGTGTCCACTCTGCCCGGAAGAGGGCACACTTGTCTATTGTCACCACAGGCTATGAGACAAGTGGTTCTGGAGACAGCAGTACAACTAAAAGTTCGCAAACAGTTGAAGATCTCCAATGCACATGGGGATATTCAGGATACAAAGTGTAGAAAACTGCCTTTCAAAGTTGCTTGCCTGAATGCGACATTCATACCTGGGCATCTAATTTTCTATACAATTCATAGCAGAAGCCTCTTCTGAGGGTGAACCATAGACTGAGGTGACTAAGGCTTGACATCACTGGATCGACAACTGAAGCCATGTCCTGTGCTCAGTTTCCATGAAAAGTGAGCTGTCTGGGCCGGGTCCGGACAGCAGTCTGGACCAGTGCTTTCCAGGACCAGCGCTGAGGATCCCTGGACTACCTGGGTCGGACCAGAGTCCTGGAGGAGTGGTAGTAGTCTTTAGTTATGAATGTCAGGGTGCACTTACACATGGAGATCACCAGGGACTTCCAGTCTGAGAACAGAAGACACGTCTTTACACAAAGGTAGAGGCAGTGAGAGGTGGCTTTGGAAACATTTTGCGTTTATATTAGACAATATTGTGTCTAAACGAGAAACCAGATAACATTGTGTTAAAACACAATAATTAATTTATAAACAACATTGCCTACAATATTATATCTTGCATTAAACTCTATATGTAATAATGTTGCCTCATGCAAAGTAGCATTGACTTGAACAACACAAGAATATTGTCACACTCCTCTTTGTGCAAAAAAGACTTAATCAAATGGAGCACGTGGACTGTTTTTGCTCACAAGAAGTAAAACACTCTGTCAGTGAGCATTCCTGGATTTAAACGCGTGTCATTGTCACAATTACCGTGAAAACCATGAATGGCATGCCTTTCCAATCGAATGTTATTCTAGAGGTGAAACTGCAGCAGCATGTGTGTCTGATCTTCCAACCATGCACGGAATACAACAATGATGACTTGGCAGCAAGACACAGTATCTACTCTTAGCGTACTGTTAAACCTCAAAAGCTTTTAGACTAGGCTTATTTCAAATGCATTTGAATTATGAGTGACACAGCAAAATGCTGGAAGAGTAATTGAAAGGGAGGAGAAACAGTACTTCTGTGTCTGTTTGCACAGGCGTGAATGTTAAGAGATAGGGGAATGCCGAACTAAAAGAAGAAATCCAGGATGGCACACAGCAGCAATGACAGTAACAGTAAGCCAACAGGAGGTATGAGCTTTGCTGTCAAGTGCTCGTAAATGTATTCCTTTCAATGCTTAAAGAGTAGGCAAAAACCCTCGCTATTTAAGTTATTAGGTCAAGTCAGTCTCCACTTTTCTGGATGGGGGTGATCAGTCCTTGATGCCCTCAGGTGAACAGCCGGCTCTCAGGACGAGGTTGGAGAGTTTGAGCAGGGCCTGCTGCTTCTGCAAGCTGCTATTTCTCAGCCTTTCATTGGTGACTCTCTTTCTGTGGCGGGCCAAGCTCTGCGATCGGGGAGTCTAGGGGGTTTCGGTTGTCTTTGAGTTTGTCATATACTGGATGTTGTTTTGGTTTAATGCTTCTGTGTTTGGGATCTGTGGGTAGAGATTTGCAGAACTGTTTTGCCAGACTGATCCATTTTGGTTGGCTGGGTTTCCTGGTTTTGCTTTATTTAAATGAAATTCAGCTTTTGCCCTAAAGTACTTATTGACTCCTCAACTTGTGAGAGTTGTCTATTTGCGCATTTCTTGTGTGTGTCTGTAGTCAGTATGGCTGGAGCCTGGAGCCTGGAGCCTGGAGCCTGGAGCCTGAAGCCTCCTCTCTGTCCTCTCCCTTCTCACACAGACTGAAAGACCTACCTGCTCATGTACATCATCTCTCAAAGCCAGGGGACTGGCCAGACCCACCCAGCCAATCCAGTCTGCTCCTCTGCCTGTGGCATCTGTTTCAACATGGAGAAACTAGTTTTCAAGGCACTGCAGGACAACTAAGTGCAAGATCAGACAAACCCAGGGCCTCTTCTGGTCTTATAAATGCATAATGTTTCAAATACTGGGAGACAGAAGAAAGGTAAAATTCTCTTCACTCTGCCTATGTCCCATTCACCCCTGTGCAGCATCAAAACAGAAAGCAAAAGCAGAGGAGAACTTTGACTCAAAACATAACGTGACATCAGAAGGGGAACAGAGGTAGTTTCCAAAGACAAACTTCCGTGTTCAAATAATTGCCTGGGCTTCTCAGGCTATGGCAGAGAGTCACACTGTCAGGACACCCC